TACAAAGGACACACTTAATTCTTTCAGCAACAAATGGTGGCCGACGTGAAGTGTCATACACGAGGGGAAGCTGGCCTGGGAGCCCAGGGTCTTTCCTGGGGGTGGGTCACACGGGCCCACACGACTGGCTGGGACCACGGAAGCTCCAGACTCTGGAAGGAAAGGTGTTCACCGTGGACAGTGTTGTGTGTACAAACCATGTAGGGAAGCTGGCGCCCTTGCTCCAAGGCCTCAGGCATGTAAAACACTCTCCTGAGTTAGACATTCCGAGACCTCACTTCCTAGGAGTTGGCCAAGGGCCGGTCATGACGCAGGCCTTCTTGGGAATGTGCAGTTTGAGCAGCTCATGCAGGGTAGTCACCCCTTCCCTGCACACCCTTATCGATCCTTCCTTCCTTCTCATGGAAAAATACTCCATAGATTTTATTAGCACTCAGCACACTTCATAGTGTGGTCAGCTGCTTTGTTCACTCTTCACTGTTTTCCTTTTCCCTGTTACGCTGCTCCTCGGAGTTGTGAGTCTATGTGAAACCAAGTTCACACCTGCCTTCTCAATAATATGACAAAAACCCCAGCTTTTCCACTCGATTCTTAAACGTTCTTTCTCACGACTTTTTTCTGTTTACTTCAGAAATGGTGAGAAATCCTGAAAGTAAGGCGTTGATCCCAGCACGTCGCATTTTTGAGGGAGACCAGTCTCACAGCATGAAGTTGGAACGATTCGTGTGGGATGATCCTTGGTTCTCCAGGTTAGAAATTTTGGGATGTGACGACCAGTTACAAATGTACCGTGTGAACCAGAGTACAGCTATGAGGCAGATGGTCTTCATGCAGAAGCAAGTGCTGTCTCAAAGAGGCTCTGAATTCTGTGACCTTGGAGCGGGGTGTGGCCAGAGCTTAAACTTTATTCCCTCTCAGAGAGTTTCTCAAATAGAACATTTCTATAAGCCTGATACACATGTGGAAAGTTGGAGGTGTAAGTCAGCCATCATGTATGCAGATAAGATTCCCTGTGAAAATAATGATTATGACACAGCCTTCTACCAGTCCATGCCACCTATTCACCCTGCAAGGATGCAAACTGGAGATAATCTTTTCAAGTGTTCTGATGCTGTTAAATCTTTCAATCATGTACTACATTTTGGTGATCATAAGGGAATGCACACAGGAGGGAAACTCTATGAGTATAAGGAATGCCATCAAATCTTTAACCAGAGCCCATCATTTATTGAACATCCGAGACCTCTGATCAGAGAAAACCAGTATGGTTATAAAGAATATGAGAATATCTTTTACTTCTCGTCCTTTATGGAGCGTCAAAATATTGGCACTGTAGAGAAAGCATATAAATACAATGAGTGGGAGAAAGTCTTTGGGTATGACTCCTTCCTCACTCAACATACAAGCACTTACACCGCAGAGAAACCCTATGACTACAATGAATGTGGGACGTCTTTCATCTGGAGCTCTTACCTTATCCAACATAAGAAAACACATACTGGAGAGAAGCCCTACGAATGTGATAAATGTGGGAAAGTTTTCAGGAATCGTTCAGCCCTTACTAAACATGAGCGGACTCACACTGGAATAAAACCCTATGAATGTAATAAATGTGGGAAAGCCTTCAGCTGGAACTCCCATCTGATTGTGCACACGAGGATTCACACGGGAGAGAAACCTTATGTGTGTAATGAGTGTGGGAAGTCTTTCAACTGGAACTCCCATCTGATTGGCCATCAGAGGACTCATACCGGAGAAAAACCGTTTGAATGCACTGAATGTGGAAAGTCCTTCAGCTGGAGCTCCCATCTGATTGCCCACATGAGGATGCATACTGGAGAGAAGCCCTTTAAATGTGATGAGTGTGAAAAAGCTTTTAGGGATTACTCGGCTCTCAGTAAACACGAAAGAACTCACTCCGGAGCAAAACCGTATAAATGTACTGAATGTGGAAAGTCCTTCAGCTGGAGCTCCCACCTTATCGCCCACCAGAGAACTCACACGGGGGAGAAACCCTATAACTGTCAGGAATGCGGCAAAGCATTCAGGGAACGCTCGGCCCTCACTAAGCATGAGATAATTCATTCTGGAATTAAGCCCTATGAATGTAATAAATGTGGAAAATCCTGTAGCCAAATGGCTCACCTTGTTAGACATCAAAGGACTCACACTGGAGAAAAGCCCTATGAGTGCAATAAATGTGGGAAGTCCTTCAGCCAGAGCTGTCACCTTGTGGCTCACCGGAGAATTCACACGGGCGAGAAGCCCTATAAGTGTAATCAGTGTGAAAGGTCCTTTAACTGCAGCTCTCACCTGATTGCGCACCGGAGAACTCACACTGGAGAGAAACCATATAGGTGTAACGAGTGTGGGAAAGCGTTTAATGAGAGTTCTTCCCTCATTGTCCATCTGAGAAACCATACTGGAGAAAAACCCTACAAATGCAACCACTGTGAGAAGGCTTTCTGTAAGAATTCTTCTCTCATCATTCATCAGAGAATGCACAGCGGAGAGAAACGCTTTATATGCAATGACTGTGGGAAGTCCTACAGTGGCCACTCGGCCCTGGTGCAACACCAGAGGAGCCACAGTGCAGAGAAAGTCTGAACTGGACTGATGAGAGACTTCCTTTCCTTGTACATTTGATACTTTGAAAAAAGCACTATAAGTGTAATCAGGAGGGGTTGTTTACTAGTAAGAGTTCAGGGAGGCTCTTCCCCTTACTACTCAGTAGAAACATCTAGAAGAAACGTATGAATGAAAGTGATAGAGGAAAGCGTAGCGGTTATGTAGCCCTTATTTAACGTCAGATTATTGCAGTGAAGAAGGAAAGCCCCACTCCTCACGGTCCACCAGGAACTTGCTTGAGGAATGTAAATGTAGGGATGAGACACCTTTAGTAAGAGATCTCAAGGATTTGTGGACCAGAGTGCATTGATGGGGGAGAAAAACCTTGTTCTAGGAAGTGCTTCAGCTGGAAATAAGCTGTTTTGCATCGAGCTGGAGTATTGGGTGGGAAGCTTTATAATAACATTCTGTGCATAATTGTGAAAATACAGATTTTGCTATTACTAGGGGGAGGGTCTGGGTGCCCTTTAAGGAATAGACGATGGAATACTAAGTTTGAGGTTAAGAAAAAAAATAGTATTGAATGGGATATTTACTGTTAGTCGAGATTAACCTTAGAAAAATTAGTAAATGAGATTACTAATGGTGGAAAAGTTATTTTCTAGAAGTATGAGGCTGATGTTGTTGGGACAGAAAGTGACATTTAATATCACAGTGTGTCCATGTCCATGGTTTACTCATGGTTGGATGTTTGTAATTTGTTTTAGGCGATCACGATAAGTTATAATTATAGACACTGCGTCAGAGTACATACCCTGAAGGAATAACAGGGACACAGAGTTGTATATACATGTCCTCTATAACATCTAAAATCGTGTATGGATAAGGACTGGAAAACCCCATGGATAAATTAACCGAGTTAATTTTAAAAATGTTAAAGTTTTGTAAACACATGCAGCACTTACCACGTGCTAAGCTTTGTCTTAAATGCTTCTCAGCTGATTAATGTGTTCAATCCCCTTAGTTCTATGAGGTAGATGCTGTTGTTATCCCAGTTTTACAAATGGAGAAACTGAGGCAGAGATGTGAGAAACCGACCTCAGGACACAGTTCAGAGTGGCGCTGAGAGTGTTGGGCCTCAGAGGCCCTGTGTTTAACCACAGCTGTGCTGGCTCTCTCCAGCGATCCCCCGATGTTTTTGTTACTGTTCAGTGTTTCTATGGTAGATATTTGCTAATAAAAATCAAGAAATTCCTAAGTAATGAGAACTGAAGTTACCCGGCTCTCTGTCCTGACGGATGTCTGGTATCAGGGCTGAGCTCCCTTCGGAGTAGGAAGTCTGGATTGGACAGTCAGACCCACTGCATCTCCTGGAGCCGGGATTTCCTAAACTCACCACCCACAGCCTGAGGCTGAGAGCGGACCAGGAGCTGGAAGACTCCCTGGAGGTGCAGACAGGTCGCAGGGGTGCTCGTCGACGGGTGTCGCCTGTCCTCACCGCAGAGGGCAAGACCCAGCGCTGCCCGTGGGCGCAGCAGTCCTCTCGGTCTCCCTCGAACTCAGGTTTACACTTTCTCGTCTTCTCCAGACGGAGAGCTTGCCTCAGGGCAGAGAGGATTCCGACGGGAAGGGAAGGGAGCTCACAGGCCCCGGAGCGTGAGGAAGCCTCTCTGGGTTAGGGCTGGGGATGAGCGGAATAGGGCGACTTGGGTGGCTTCTCTCCAGTTCACAAGCATTTCCCGATCTCCTTAGAGATTGCCTGTCGGGCTGCCATGAGGGGCCAGCAGTCCTTCCTGGAGCGGCTTCCAGGGTCTTGGTTAGAAATCCCGGGGCAGAAGGTCCATCTGGGTGCCGACTCCCCAGCGTGAGAAACGGTCCTGGAGGCGGAGGAAGCTCCCGGCCTGAGTCCGGTCACCAGCTGCCACAGGCACCTGCTACCTGATCCCCCACCGTTCAGGGCTCACTGCATCCTGGCCGCCCAGCGGGTGCTGCCGGAGGGAATTCAAGCCGCTGAATGTTTATTTTTTAATATTATAGACTGGACGGCTTAAACAACTGAAATTCATTTTCTCACGGTCTTCTTAAAAATATAGATATTTTATTGATTTTTTACAGGGAGGAAGGGAGAGGGAGAGAGAGTTGGAAACATCGATGAGAGAGAAACATCGATCAGCTGCCTCCTGCACACTCCCCACTGGGGATGCGCCCGCAACCAAGGTCCATGCCCTTGACCAGAATCGAACCCGGGACCCTTCAGTCTGCAGGCCGACGCTCTATCCACTGAGCCCAACCGGCCAGGGCCATTGTATTTTATTTTTAAAATATATTTCCATTGATTTCAGATGGGTCCAGGTCTGCCTTGAGAACACGCGGCTAAGGAGGCAGCAAAGGGTGGGGTGAGGGGTGCGCCCAGGAGGGAGAACCTGGGGAGACAGAGGAGGGGCCAGGCCTGGGACCAAAACCAGATGGAAGAGGAACATCCCAGGAGGCAGGGGCAGGGCCTCGCTCTGCCTCCTCCGAGGTCTGTCCCGTCCTCGTTCCTGTCCCCCGACCCCCCCCCCCCTCAGCCTCCCATTGGCTGGCACGGTTCCGTGGAGGGACTCCACGTGGCAACCTGGGCTGACCTCACACTGGTGGCTCCAAGGCAGAACCAGAGGCCGGGCAGGGAGCCTGGCCCCAGCGGAACGGCTCCTTTCGCCCGCAGGATAAGAGAGGACGGTGCTGGAGAGATGGGCCAGCCTCGGCGTCCCTTCGCCCTCCTAATTTTGTTTTTAATGGGATGGCCGTTGCGTGTGTGCTTGCCTGATGCAGGTGAGTTCAGACCTAGTTGGAAAAATGACAGGCCTTTTAAAATATATGTGGTTTTTTTTTTTAATTTATTTCAGAGAAGAAGGAAGAGCTGGGTGAGAGAGAGAGAAAAGCATCCAGGATGAGAGAGAATCATGGATCGGCTGCCTCCTGCACTTGCCCTGCTGGGGATCGAGCCCGCAACCTGGGCGTGTGCCCTGACCCAGAATGGAACCGTGACCTCCTGGTTCATAGAGTCGACTCTCTCAACCAGCCGGGTTATTTTTCCATTTTAACGAGAGTGGAGGGGAGTGGAGGAGACAGAGAGAAACATCGATGTGAGTCAGACACATCTATTGGTTGCCTCCTGCATTGAGCCTGCAACCTGGGCATGTGTCCTTGACTGGAATCGAACCCGGGACCCTTCAGTCCTTAGGCCGGCGCTCTATCCACTGAGCCGCACCGGCCAGGGCTCACCTCTTGCGCCTTTGTTCAGTCTGTACAAACAGTGCTTCTCTGTGTGTGTGTGTGTGTGTTGCTTTCTGTTTCCAGGCGATAGGAAGGGTGACATACCTGAGCTGGTAAAGGACGACTCGTCGCGTTCGCCGGCCCCCAGCGCCAGCACCTGGGATGCAGGTGGGTGGCACGCCCCCGGGCTGCCCTGTGGGGTCCTTTCCTCCCAGCACGAGCCCCCCTGGGCCCATCAGGGCAGCCCTGAGCTATAAACAAGGCCACCTTCCTGGGGTTCGGGCTACGTAGGTGGCAGGTGCGGCCGCCCTGGACAAGCAGCCTGGCCAGTGTGGCTCAGGGACGCACGTCTCCACAGAGCAAGGCGGGCAGGTGGGAGGGGAGCCCGCAATGATGTGGAAATTCAGATTATCCCTGTTCACACAGGCTGGGCAATCTCGCCTCCTTATTTTATTTTATTTTTATTTTTTACTTTATTTTATTTTATTTTATAAGTAGTTTTTTATTGTTGATGGTATTACAGATGCCTCCCATTTCCCCCCGCCTCCCAGCCACTATCCACCCCCAGGGCTTCATCACCCTATTGCCCGTGTCCATGGGCTGTGCATATAAGCATATACGTTCTTTGGTTTATCTCTTCTCGTCCCCCCACCCTCACATCAAGGTATGTTAGTCTGTTCCCTGCCTACCTGCTTCCGGTCTTATCCTATTGGTCAATTCATGTTGTTCATTAGATTCCACAGGTAAGTGAGATCATGTGATATGCCTCCGTATTTTAAAATGCTATTTTTTTTAATATATTTTATTGATTTTTTACAGAGAGGAAGGGAGAGAGAGAGTTAGAAACATCGATGAGAGAGAAACATCGATCAGCTGCCTCCTGCACATCTCCCACTGGGGATATGCCCGAAACCCAGGCACATGCCCCTGACCAGAATCGAACCCGGGACCCTTCAGTCCGCAGGCCGACGCTCTATCCACTGAGCCACACCGGTTTCGGCTTAAAATGCTATTTTAAAAAACTATATATATTTCTATTGATTTCAGAGAGGAAGGGAGAAGGAGAGGGAAACATCCATGATGAGAGAATCATTGACCCGCTGCCTCCTGCACACCCCACACTGGGGATCCAGCCGTTAACCCGGGCATGTGCCCTGACCGGGAATCGAACCGTGACCTCCTGGTTCATAGGTTGATGCTCAACCACTGAGCCACACCGGCCAGACTAATATGCTATTTTTTGATGGTATCTCTGACTGTATCTCCCATTCCCCTTTGTGACAACAGTATGACTGACTACTATATAACCGACAGGCACAGCGACAGTGAAATTAGATGAGAACGTCTTTTCTCCCTTTTAGCGCCGAGTCCGCGTCGACGTGCTCTTGTTCGAGTCGTTACCGTCGCGTGCGCGGCCTTGAGCATGGCCTTGGTCTGCGGGGTCGCTGTTTCCTACGTGCTATAGTAAGTCCTTGTTAGTAGCATTGCCAGCCTTAAGTCGGACACACATTACCTGGGTCGTTATTTGGTGGTGGTGGTGATGATGACGATGATGACAATGTTTTTAAAAATATATATATATATTATTGATTTTTTACAGAGAGGAAGGGAGAGGGAGAGAGAGTTAGAGACATCGATGGGAGAGAAACATCGACCAGCTGCCTCCTGCACACCCCCCACTGGGGATGTGCCTGCAGCCAAGGTACATGCCCTTGACCGGAATCGAACTCGGGACCCTTCAGTCCACAGGCCGATGCTCCAAGCCGGCCAGGGCTGATGACAGTTCTTATAATCACTAAATTATAACCTTCATACATTCCAAGACTAGTGTTTTTAGAATGTGGATTATGACATCAGTGGGTGGTGGGTGAGAAGAGAAAAAGAAAGAAAGAAAAACAGAACCAAATGTAATTTATTTAGAAGAACAGACTGTGTTAAAAAGCATTCCGTGTATTGAAGTAAGTAAAAATGAATGAACACACACAAAGGCGTGCTCCGTCTCCGTTTGGACTCAGGCTCCCTCCCGGGCTGTCACGGTTGGATCCTGTTTTTTTAAAATATATTTGTATTGATTTCAGAGCAGAAGGGGGGGAGAGGGAGACACTCTACCCACTGGGCCAAACCAGCTGGGGCCCAACCCTATTTTATTTTTATTATTGATTTCAGAGAGAAAGCAGAGGGAGAGAGCAATAGAAACATCCATGATAGAGAATCATCAATTGGCTGCCTCCGGCACGCCCCCCACTGGGGATCGAGCCCACAACCCAGGCATGTGCCCTTGACCGGAATCGAACCTGGGACCCTTCAGTCTGCAGGCCAACGCTCTATCCACTGAGCCAAAGTGGCTAAGCCTTTAAAGCAATAATTTAAAAAAATATATATATTAATTAACGTCCCCCAAATCCATGATGAACAAAATATCAACAGTTTTTTCATCTAGTACTTAAATCAAGATGCTTCCTTTTATAAAAATTTTATTTATTTTTTTGTATTTCTTGATTTTAGACAGAGGAAGGGAGAGAGAAGAATATCAATTTGTTGTTCCACTTATTAATGCATTTGTTGGTTGTTTCTTGCATGTGCCTTGACTGGGGTTGTACCCTCAACCTTGGTGTAGGGGGAGGACACTCGAACCAACGGAGCTACCCAGCCAGGGACAAAGCATCAACCATTTCAGCACGGGATCAGCAATGGTGCTGGGACAAGCCATACTGTAGACTGACCCACAGGAAAAATCTGTAATACCTGTAATGTCTTCATTTCATATGTTGGTGTTTTGCTCATCATGGGTTTCTTGGCATTTATTTTTCTTTTGTACGCTATTACATTAAGATGTTACCCTGACCGATTTGGCCCAGTGGATAGAGCGTCAGCCTGTGGACTGAAGGGTCCCAGGTTCGATTCCGGTCAAGGGCATGTATCTTGGTTGTGGGCACAACCCCGGTGGGGGGTGCGCAGGAGGCAGCTGATCGATGTTTCTCTCTCATCGATGTTTCTAACTCTATCCCTCTCCCTTCTTCTCTGTAAAAAAAAAAAATCAAAATATTTTTTTTTAAAAAAAGATGTTATCTACGTAACCCTAGTGGTTTGGCTCAGTGGATACAGCGTCAGCTGCAGACCAAAGCGTCCCAGGTTTGATTCCGGTAAAGGGCATGGACTCGATTTCAGGGTCCTCCCTGGCCCGGGCCCTGATTGGGGCACGTGCAGGAGGCAACCCATCGATGTGTTTCTGTCGCATGGATGTTTCTCTCTGTCTTTCCCTCTCTTTCATTCTCTCTAAAAATCAATGGAAAAATACCCTCAGGTGAGGATTAAAAAAAACACCACCACAAACACAAAAAGATATTATTATTATTTTTAATATATTCTTATTGATTTCAGAGAGGAAGGGAGAGGGAGAGATAGAAACATCACTGATGAGAGAGCGAAACATTGATTGGCGGCCTCCTGAATGGCCCCCAGTGGGGACGGAGCCCGCAACCTGGGCCTGTGCCCTGGACTGGAATAGAACCTGGGACCCTTTGGTCTACAGGCCGACGCTCTATCCACTGAGCCAGACCAGCGAGGGCGAGATATTATTTATATTGATGATGGAGTTTGGAACCCAACGTGATTGCCTCACACGCCCAAGGGGCGGGCTCCATCCCCAGTGGGGGGCGTGCAGGCGGCAGCCGATCCATGATTCTCTCTCATCCTGGATGTTTCTCTCTCTCTCTCCCTCTCCCTTCCTCTCTGAGATCAATTTAAAAAATATATATATATAATGTGAAAATCAATAAGAATATTTGGGGGATGGGAAACAAAACTAGCCCCAAACTTCTCTAATCCACATGGGCATTCTCAGTGGCCCCGTTCCTGCTGTCGGCACACAGTTAAGGTCTGTGACCACGTTGATCCCGCCGTATCGTTCTGCCTCCCTCTCCCACCCACCACCTCGTTCTAGGGACTCTTCAGTCAAAAAGTCACATGATTCAGACACGACGGGTCCTGGCCCGTGTGGCTCTGTTGGCTGGGTGTCACCCTGTGCACCCAAGCGTTGCTGGTTTGACTCCCGGTCAGGGCTCATGTCCAAGTTGCCGTCTGGATTCCCCAGTGTGGAGCCTGCAGGATGCAGGAGGCGGCCGATCGATGCTTTGCTCCCATGTCCGTGTTTCTCTTTCCCTTTCCCTTCCTCTCTTTCTAAAAATCAGTAAGAAGCCCGGCCCTCATGGCTCAGTGGCCGAGCGTCGACCTATGAACCAGGAGGTCACGGTTCGAATCCCAGTCAGGGCACCTGCCCAGGTCACAGGCTCCATCCCCAATGCAGGGCGTGCAGGCGGCAGCCGATCCATGATTCTCTCTCATCTTTGATGTTTCTATCTCTCCCTCTCCCTTCCTCTCTGAGATCAATTAAAATATTATCTAAAGTGAAAATCAATAAGAATATTTGGGGGGTGGAAACAAAACTAGCCCAAGTTTATTAACCTCCCCCCACCCCCCAAAAAAAGACACGAGGACATGTTGTGGGCGCTGTGCTCCCGAACTCACCTGTGTTACTCTCCAGTCGACTGGGACAGGATGAGGAGAGGGAACAGCTTGCCGCGCTTCATGAAAATATCGAGATACCACTGTCCGGAGACGAAGAGGAGGCCTTCAGGGCCGGGCGCCCCGGCGAGGCTGGGTATCTGCTTTCGGGGAACGAGAAGGAGCTGGCGGAGTTCATTAATTCAGGTAGGAGCCGACCCGCTCATCTGGGCAGATCTGCAGTCACAGCAAAGCTGAGCTGGCCGTGAGGGCTTCGTTTTCTTTTCTTTAAAAAAAAAAAATTTTTTTTTCTTCTTGATTTCAGAGAGGGAGAGAGATATAGAAACATCATTGATGAGAGAGAATCCTTGATTGGCTGCCTCCTGCACGCCCCCTACTGGGGATTGAGCTCACACCCCGTTGGTCCTGTGCCCTGGTCGGGAATCGAACCCGGGACCCTTCAATCTGCAGGCCGATGCTCTGCCCACTGAGCCACACCGGCCAGGGCGATGGTTGGTTTTCAAAGGCCAATCAAAGTGGGAATTGATGGAGTTTGAGGGAAGGAAGGTGAATATCGACAGCCCCACCCACAGACACGACCTGGTCCCGTCCCGTTGTTCGCGCGGCAAACCCCTGTGTGGCTGCTTGGCTTCCTTCGCGAGGACGTTCCCAGGGTTGAAAACAGAGGTTAGGAAACGGCCCTTTTCCCAGAACAGACGTTTCCTTACGGATACTGATTAGAGTGACACGACTCCCACGCTGAGAACCCAGACAAGCAGACGTCCCGCCTTCACCGGGGGCCTCAGCCCCACGTGAAGCCAGGACCCAGGCCCAGAAACAGAGGCCACTGCCCCAGGCTCAAAGACCCCTGTCAGCCCCGCCTGTCTCGCCTGCCAGCCCCTGTGAGGAGCGGGCCCCATACACGTGCATAGAAGCCTGACTGGGTAGACGCTCTGACATCCTTCGATACTTGCTTTGAAAAATTCCTAGCCCCGGCCTGTGTGTCTCAGTGGATAGAGCATCGGCCTGTGGACTGAAGGGTCCCGGGTTCGATTCCGGTCAAGGGCACATGCCCCGATTGTGGGCTCGATCCCAGAGAGGGGTGTGCAGGAGGCGGCCAATCCATGATTCTCTGTCATCACTGATGTTTCTATCTCTCTCTCCCTCTCCTTTCCTCTCTGAAATCAATAAAAATATATGTAAAAATATTCCTAGAGCACAGGTCTGTAGAGAAGGCATTATCTCGTTCAGTTTTATTAACCACACCCTGGACGGGGCGCCTCCCTGACTGCCCTAGACACAGACAATCCTGAAGAAGCTGCCAGGCCGGGGGAGCGATAGCTGATGCTCACCAGGCAGACAGCCCTCGGCAGCCTTCAGAAGATAATTTTTCATTGTCTTTTCATTACTTTGACGTATACATTTCCTACATTCTCTCTTTACTGGCCATTTATAAAGACTGAGTACAGCGACAGCCAGTTTGGCTCAGTGGATAGAGCATCGGCCTGTGGACTTTGAAGGGTCCCGGGTTTGATTCTGGCCAAGGGCACATGCCTGGGTTGCGGGCTCAATCCCCAGTGTGGGGTGTGCAGGAGGCAGCCGATCAATGATTCTCTCTCATCACTGATGTTTCTATCTCTCTCTCCCTCTCCCTTCCTGTCTAAAGTTAATTTAAAAAAAAAAGTAAATATACACACACACACACACATACACACACACACACACACACACAGAAAAGGACTGAGTACAAACTCACAGATACAGACAAGGGTCATGTTGGTTACCAGTCAGGAAAGGGGTTGGGGGGAAGTAGAAGAGGTATGGGGGGGATCAGCGGTGATGGGAGGAAACGACGTACGGTGGTCAGCACATAATACAACATACAGATGATGTATTATAGAATCGTATAGCTGAAACCTATATAATTGTGCTAACAAACCTATGTAATTGGGGTAACTAATGTTACCCCGCTAAATTCAATGGAAAAAAAAATAATGCTTGAATACGGAAAATGGGACAATAATTTAAACTTTCAAATTGTCACCGTCCTTATCAAATCACATGCGTTATGTCCTAAAAATCCCACTATTCGCACCTTTATTTTTCCATCCTTTTTTCATCGGCCCTTTTCCTTCCTTTCTATTCCTCCGTTATTTGTAACTTAACAACACTATGCCTCTGTTTTAGCCATTAGGTCAAAAAGGAGACAGCATCTCGAAGGAGCAGGATTGGAGAGCGCGCAGAAGCAGTAGAGGAAGCAGAACGCTGAATGCCGGGCCCCTTGCAAACGTGGGAAACCGTGAAAGCCAGCGAGAGCCGCAGGCCGCGCTGCCCCGTGTGGGGAACACATGGTGGGACGTCAGCTTGAGGACATGCGGACCCTCAGGGAAGAGAACTAGAAATAAATCACACAAAATAAATCCACAACATAGTCATCCTTGCCTCTTAGCTCTCATGGTTCACGAATAATTATAGTGTAACAGGAAAGAGGAAAATCCAACTTCGTAAGTATGAACGAGAAATTGTCTGCATTTTCTTTCCTTGCTCCCAACCAGAAATACAAGGAATTTCTTTGGGGAACCTCCCAGACCATGCTGGGGAGCCCCGTTCCCTAAACCGTATGTTCCCACTGATACCTGTTAATTCCAGTAGCTTGTCTTTACAAGAGGAGCCTGAGAATGTGAACTGGGTACCAGAATAAGGAGTCGAGGGGCGGGGTGGGGGGGGGGGAGGACCTAATTCCTTGTGGGTTTTATTTTATTTGATTTTTTAAAATATATTTTATTGATTTTTTACAGAGAGGAAGGGAGAGGGATAGAGAGTTAGAAACATCAATGAGAGAGAAACATCCATCAGCTGCCTCCTGCGCACCCCCTACTGGGGATGTGCCCGCAACCAAGGTACATGCCCTTGACAGGAATCGAACCCGGGACCCTTCAGTCCCCAGGCCGACACTCTATCCTCTGAGCCAAACCGGCCGGGGCTGACACGTGAGTGTGTGACCAGAAAGGAGGCTCCATCGTTCAAGCTCCTGGGAGTTTGGGATCCTGTGAACTGCACCTGGTGGTTTGAAAACAAGTGTGTCCTGCTGACGTGAAGAAGTGACCAGCTCCTGTCGGGCTCCCACACTGTGTCTCAGAGGGGATAGCGTGACGGCTCAGGGGACACGGCTGCCGCTCCAGGTCTGGCCTTGACTCTGTGGCCGCCCAAGGCCTAATGTGTCGCCCGAACCCCACGATCTCGTGTGCGTTTAGGCATCGATCTGTGGAGGGGGCGGTGGTGGTGACAACCTGTGGTGTTTCAGGAGCAACATGACACTGTTCTCACCATGGCTGCTGCCGCGTGCTCAGCCCTCGTGAGGGAACCCCGTTACCCTGGTCCTTCACAGGAGCCATGGCCCCAGGGCTCAGCGTTCCTCGGGGAGTGTCGTAAGATTATAGGGGGATGCCTAGCCGGTGTTGCTCAGTGGATGGAGCCTCGGCCTGCGGACTGAAGGGTCCCGGGTTCGATTCCGGTCAAGGGCATGTACCTTGGTTGCAGGCACATCCCCAGTAGGGAGTGTGCAGGAGGCAGCTGATGGATGTTTCTAACTCTCTATCCCTCTCCCTTCCTCTCTGTAAAAAATCAATAAAGTATATTTTTAAAAAAATGTATATGATCCCAGACTGTTCAAATTTGGACTTATCATAGCATCATTTACTTCAAATCCATACTAATATTTTGCTTATTAATAGTAAGTTATTAAAAGGCGAAAGATTTATGCGATCTGAAGAGAAACCAGAATATAATAGTAAGTTATTAAATAACAACAAGTGAGTAATTGGGGTTTAAAGTTTAGGGAGCATCAGACTTGAAAAAGTGCAAGTTGGTGACCATAAATGTACTAACAAATGAAAATGATTTCTGGGAGGAAACAGTCGTCACTCCGGTATTACAGAGCGTGGGAAGTGGAATATGAAAACGTGGAATATGAAAATGGCAACCACTGTATGTGCAAAGGTGCACAAACCTACACCCCATTTTCTAAACAAGGAACAGGCTTGATAACACATACTGAAAAAGTTAAAAGTGTACCCCTTGACTCACACCCCCTTCCGGTCTGCCCTCTTCCCTTCACCATTTATTAAAAAAAAAAAACTTATTTTAATTAATTTCACAGAGGAAGGGAGAGAAACATCCATGATGAGAATCATGGATCAGCTGTCTCCTGCGCGCCCCCTACTGGGGATGGACCCTGCAACGCATGTGCTGGCGTCTGGAATCGAACCTGGGAAGCTTCAGTCCGTAGGCCGACGCTCTATCCACTGCGCCACACCGGCCGGGCCCCTCACCATTCCTGATCATTCCTCAGGCTGGCCCATTCTCTCATCCCAGCCTGAACACATTCCTTCTGATGCTGCGGGCTCTGGGAACTACATTGCCCAGGAGACCGTGCGCGAGAGACCGGATGGTGAGCCAATGGCGGCTCAGGGACGAGGCACTTCCGGTCTGCGGATCCCGCCAAGGCGGGACTTCCGTCCTCTTGCCTTGGTGGTCACTCGGCTCCTCACGGGCCTTTTGACCGCGTCGGAGGCTTGCGGGTCGGTGGGCCCCGGACGACCCGCTGGAACCTGCGGGCGCCAGAAGCCCGGTTCCCGCCGCGCGGACGCGGGGGTGAGGCCGGCGGCTCCACCGGGGACTCGCGGGGACGGGGACCCACAGCCGGGCCGCCCCCGCCCGCTCCGCCCGCAGTTCCCGATGGCGGGGGCCGCGCCGAGGCGCCCGGATGAGGTGAGCGCGCCCCCCTCCCGGGGCCTCCCCGCCGGCCTCGCCCAACCCTGCAGCCCCGGCCCCCGTCAGGCCCGCGAGGGGGTGCCCCCCGGTGTGACGGGGATCGGGGGCGGGGGGGCGGGTAGGAGATGGTGCGGGGCTGAGGGGCCCCGGGGAACCGTGCAGGGGCGGCTGGGCCAGAGCATCCGGGAACCTGGCTCCTCTTTACCGCGTCGTGGAAGATTGTGGACAGCAGAGGGACACTTGCGGGACAGGCCTTTTTATCTGCTTCCTCGGGGCCCGGTGCACAAAATTTGTGCACTGGCGGGGGGTGGGGGTGGGGGGAGGTACACGTCCCCCTGAGCCCAGCCTGCGCCCGCTGGCAGTCCGGGAGCCCTTGGGGGATGTCCGACTGATGGCTTAGGCCCCTCCCCGCGTCTGCCGCAGCGCTCCCCCTGACCACCAGGGGGCAGCTCCTGCATCGGGCATCTGCCCCTGGTCGGTCAGTGCATGTCCGTGATGGCGAACCTATGACACGCGTGTCACCTCTGAACTCATTTTTTTTTGGTTGATTTTTCTGTTAAATGGCATTTAAATATATACAATAAATATCAAAAATGTAAGTCTTTGTTTTGCCATGGTTAAAAAAATACCAAAAAATTTCTCTATGTGACCCAGCACCAGAGTTACGTTAGGGTTTTTCAAAATGCTGGCACGCTGAGCTCAAAAGGTTCGCCATCACTGGGGTATGTCATAGCTTCCAGCCGAAACTGGCTCCCTGCCATCCCCCAGGGGTCCCGGGTTGCAAGAGGGCGCAGGCCAGGCCGAGGGGCCCCACCCATGCACGATCAGGGCCGGAGAGGGACAGCGGGAAGGCTCCAGAGGGTGTCCAGCCCATCTCACCCCGTCCCCATCAGCTGGACCCCAGGAGCAAGCTAACCTACCAATCAGAGCATCAGAGCATCTGCCCCCTAGTGGTCAGTGCACGTCATAGCGAGCCGTTGAGCAGCCTTAGCATGTCACAAGCATATTGTGCCTTGATTGGTTAAACGGCCAACCAGACGATTGGACACTTAGCATATTAGTTTTTTATTATACAGGATTTTTTTTTTTAATATGTATGGCTTTTTAAAATATATTTTTTATTGATTTTTTACAGAGAGGAAGGGAGAGGGATAGAGAGTTAGAAACATCGATGAGAGAGAAAAATCAATCAGCTGCCTCCTGCACACCCCCCACTGGGAATGAGCCCACAACCAAGATACATGCCCTTGTTCAGAATCGAACTCGGGACCCGTCAGTGCGCAGGCCGATGCTCTAGCCACTGAGCCAAACCCATTAGGGCTATACAGGATTTTTATATCTACACCCGAGGCTATTTTTCCATTGATGTTTAGAGAGAGGGAAAGACAGACAAATATCCATGTGAGAAAAGCACATCGAACCCAGGACCCTTTGGTCCGCAGGCCAGACTCTATCCACTGAGCCAAACTGGCTAGGGGATGTGACAGGCCTTTTAATGTTTTACAAAAGCGGCTCAGAAAAAAAAAAATAGCTGCTCAGAGAGAGAGCAAGTCTAGGATGGGCGTGAGGATGCCTGGAGAGTTGTGTTCTTGCCCAAGGTCACAGCTGACACGGGCAGCACTGAGGACACCAGACTCCAGGGCGGCCGCGGATTCAGCGGAGACCCGCTCCCTTGGCGCCGAAGGGTGGTTGTCTGCATCTTCCCACAGGTCCCCAAGGTTGAAAACCAATTCTAGAACCCACACAAGGAAGGACAGGGTGTCCCAGCCCCTCCGCGGTCCTGACACCACCCCTGTGATGTCTGGGATGGCCAAGTTCATCTCTTTTCCAAGATGTAGGGTCTGAGACCGTTAGAGATACCTGAGCCTGTCCGAGGTTGTGGTGTCTGCAAACTCTCCCCTTGGTATGTTCCCATCTCTTGGATGTGGGGACCCTTGGGATACCCCCAATCCCTGTATCCTGAGGGATGGGGCACAGGTGACACGAAGGGGCTCCCATTTCTGGCAACCAATGTAAGCAGGTGTAGGAGGTTAACCCAGGGCCGACACCAGCAGGTGCAAATGCTTGGAGGTGCCACGAAGCTGGGCATACGGTAGGCAGTGCAGATCTCCATTCTTTCCTTTTTCTATTTTTACTTTTTTATTTTAATAATTTGTTTTTAAATCCTCCCCCGAGGATATGTTTATCGACTTGAGAGAGAGAAACATTGATGTAAGAAACACCGATCGCCTATACGTCCTGACCAGGGATCAAACCCCCAAACTAGGTCCGCGCCTGCAATCTGTTGGCATACAGGACAGTGCTCCAACCACTGAACCTCCTGCCAGGGCAGGTCTCCATTCTTTTTAATAATAAAGTGTTGTTGGGGCGGGGGGGGGGGCGCGTCTTAGCCGGTTTGGCTCAGTGGATAGAGTGTCAGCCTGCGGACTGAAGGGTCCCGGGTTCAATTACGGCCAAGGACCCATGCCTGGGTTGCGGGTTCAGTCCCCAGTAGGAGGCGTGCAGGAGGCAGCGGATCAATGATTCTCTCTCATCATTGATGTTTCTATCTCTCCTCCCTCTCTGAAATCAATAAAGAAATATATATATATATATATATATATATATATATATATTTATATTTATATATTTTATTGATTTTTTACAGAGAGGAAGGGAGAGGGATAGAGAGTTAGAAACATCTATGAGAGAGAAACATCGACCAGCTGCCTCCTGCACACCCCCCACTGGGGATGTGCCCGCAACCAAGGTACATACCCTTGACCGGAATCGAACCCGGGACCCTTGAGTCTGCAGGCCGACGCTCTATCCACTGAGCCAAACGGGTTAGGGCGAAATATATTTTTTTGAA